AACCCGATCTACACTCCAGAACCCCAGAACCCAAACCCAATCTACACCCCAGAACCCCAGAACCCTAACCCGATCTACACTCCAGAACCCCAGAACCCAAACCCAATCTACACCCCAGAACCCCAGAACCCTAACCCGATCTACACTCCAGAACCCCAGAACCCTAACCCGATCTACACCCCAGAACCCCAGAACCCCAGAACCCTAACCCTCTGATATACACTCCCGAACCCCAGAACCCTAAAAAGGTCCGAACCCAGGTCCAGTTAGTGTCCTACAGCCTTCCCCTGTGGTTTTAACACCGAGTGGCAGCCAGCTGTGCGGTGCGCTGGCCGTGCAGGGGAACCAAACGATCTGATTGGCTGGACTGAGTGGAGCTATTACCGTATTGCCTGGAGTAGCAGCGCCCACTGTCTACAGCCGCAACTGTCGGAAAAAAATGCTCCATGAAAATCTCGTGAGTTTATCAGAGATTGGTCTCGGGTCCGGACAGAACCATCACTCGGTCCGGATCCGGACTGAGGTCCACCATTTGGTGATGCCTGATCTAGAGCTTTCTATGGAAGGCTTAATTCCACTGACTGTATATAAAACATGGACGTAGCTTCTGGGCCTGTATAGTGAACCCTTTAACCTGCAGTCTGTCTTACAGCCAGCAGGGGGCGACTCCTCTGGTAGAAAACAGAAGTCTGATTATGTAGCAGTCAATGAGAAACAAAGACTGTCCTTCTCACGTCATCTGTTACCAGCTTGTCCTTCACGAGGTATCGCTGCCCTAAACTTACTTTAAATTATAATAACTGGACTGAACTTGTATTATTCTTTTCTACCTGAGCAGCACTCAAAGCGCCCCACAGTGTTTCTCATTCACCCATTCACACACATTCGTCCACCAGTGGCCACAGAGCTGCCATCAGGACCAGGTGAGATTAAGGCTTATTGTCTCATTGTTGTCTACACAATGAGCTTCTCACCTTTGCAACCGGAGGAGTCGCCCCCTGCTGGCTGTTGGAAAGAATGAAGGTTTAAGTTGTTTTTTAATTTCATTTCAGCACTTTTTTAGATTGGAAACAGGGAGAAACAGTCTGCTTGGCTCTGTAGCTTGTTTAATGCACTAAAACACTAACTATAAAAACTGCTTGCATTTAGAACCTTTCGTGACCACCTGACCTCACAAACGAGAAAACCGTGTTGGAGCTGCTTCGATCATTTTCAGGTGTTTCCTCCTTTAAACGCTCTGACACTGTTTGCAATCTGGCCTCTGGTCATCAAATACTAAATATCTAAAGCACAACTGTCCCTCCACTGGATGATGATGATCCGTACTGTTGTTGTCCAACATCACCAGCAGCTACAGCAACTCAGCTACCAGTAAAAACAAGTGCCATCGAGTTGCCACAACACTGGCATCAAACTACTGGTCCTCATCACAGCTCTACTCTAAACATGAAAGCAGGCGTAGTCCTTCTCTTAAAATGTTGGTATTACAGGATTGTTTTTCCCTCCTCAGGTACTGGATGCCACAAAGCGACACCCCAGGACTGTGTGCTTTAAGTCTGAAACGTGTGAATCCTCTGGAGACGTGGCACAAAGCCAGCTGCTCCATAAGGAACCGCTGTATCTGTGAAACGAAAGCCTTGATCAGATCACATTAGGAGTCGGTTCCATCTTATCTACTGACACCGTCTGTCTTTATCCTGAAATTTGGAAAGTAAAATAGGATTGTTTTTCATAATTTTTTATTACTTTTTTTGGAGGATCTATCTGTACAAACACTGCAGGGTACGCCACCTTGGAGTTTTATGTACCCACTATGAATGTATTTAGGCCTAAAGCAACCAGGTAACATCAATAAACAGGTAATAAATAGTTAAAACTGTAAATACATATCTAAAGGTATATTAATAAGGAGGCAAAGCAGAACAGAAGTGCCAGTCCATGTCACCTTCTATAAATTACTTTTTTGAAAATTGGATTTTCAGCATTACATACAATCTTAATGTACATTATAATTCAGTTTTCTTCTATTTTTTTTTTTAACACGAAACATCTCAAACAATAAACCCCACACACACACAAACAGATGAAGAAAATTCTAAGTAACAGAAACATCAGATACAAACATAACAGACAAATAAGTAAACAGAAATCAAGTCAAATCTATTCATGACTTCATGACCACATTTATTAATTAGTGTTATTGTTGGTGCATCGGTGGCATGTCCATTTCTCCTCTACATGAACATACGTGAATTTCAGCACAGTGACCCACTAGAACCTCAGAAATGAGCATAAAGTAGAATCAGCACCTCTGAAACGGTAAAAGCCTCCACTGAAGGCTGAAGGCTGAAGGCTGAAGGCTGAAGGCTGAAGGCAGGGTTGTTGTGTTTAGACGACATCAGACTTTACAGGTGCACAAAAAAGACTTTATTAATAATAATTGGTGTCTCACTGTGTTTTCTCAGTGTTGACATTGTAATTTACATAAACAGTTAATTAGCTGATTACAGCCCCTGTAACGAGGCTTTGCAGTAACGGGCTGAGTCTGTATCCTGGCTCGCCCTGTAATGACCAACAGCTGTTTCTGTCCTTCTGCTTTTCTGTCATGTCGTTTCTGGTTTTCATCATTTTGTGTCTGATTTGTGTTGTTTTGTCTCGACTTGTCAGATTTTGTGTTTTGTGTCTTGTTTGTATCTCATCATAATCATTTTTGTTGTTTGTATCAGATGTTTGTTCTTGTGTGTGTTATTATGTATTTTGTATGTCTCTCATTTATGTATATATGTATATATGTATATATTTTGCCTTGTTTGTGTCGTTTTGTGTCCTTTTTGTATTATTTTGTCTCATTTTTATCGTTCAGGTTTTTTGTTCAGCTGACACAGGAGCCTGCTGTTGACTGGATTTCTTGGTTTTGACTCCACAAAAGCATCAGATTTTACAGTTTTCAATCGTATTGTTTGGTAATTTATTACAGTGTGTACCTAATAAAGAGACCTGTGTATGTATACCTCCACATATGTAGGAATACAGTAAGCGTATGAATGTATATTTGTTCAGTGCTGTTTTTACAATAAATCCCATCTATTGTGTATTTACTGTGTGCTAACAGTGTAATCAATTTATACTCAGTGAATATATAATTAACTATCATATAATGATTGAATACTCTGTTTTGGACAAGGGATTGGTGAATGGGACTGCTTTAAAGTCATTTTGGTGATCTTCTATACTTCTTTTAATGTCATAAAAGTGACCCAAAGCCAAAAATGAACAGTAAAATGGTCCCATAAACAAGCATTTTCTGAGTGTAACAAGCCTGATTGTATTAAAAACTAATCCAGTCCTGCACCAGATGACATGTTCCTTCATTATGAGGAACATGGGGACTGTAGGTTATTTTTATGTAACCCTACATCCACCATACTGCTGCTGTAAGAGCACAAAATGTTCAGTCAGGAGCTGAAAATAGTCCGATGGAAAAGCCTGAATTTGTGTATCTCATGAACATTTGCAATAAAATAAAATACAATACAGTGCCCGACTGCTTTAAGAAATGCCTGCTTTTTAGAATCATAAAATTCAGTATGTGAAGGAATAAAATCAAAGTTGGAATGCTGATATTTGTATGTTTTCATGTGATCTGTTCCCAGAAACAATAAGATGGAAGATCAGCAGCTTTGTCCTTCAGCAGCTGCCTCGGTCCAGATGGGAGTAACCCAACGAGAACTGAACATGACGTCTGAAGGTTCATGTTGAAACGTGTCAGCAGCTAAACTGCGTTACAACAGCAGGCGTACTTACGATAAGCGGCAAAACAGAACGCGTACTTCATCCATAGCTCGCAGTAAAGTGTGAAAGGGAAGAGGAAGCTTTAGTTTGTCCTGCAAGCTGTGAGCTGATGTTCAGTCACACCTTTCAGCATCAGTTTGTTGAAGCCTTTGTCATCCTTTTCACCAGCAGTGTGGGACTTCGAAGATGGAGGAAGATGTGGTTTTTAATAATGGTCCTCCTAAAGGTAAGCAATGGCCTTGTTTCTGCTGGTATTTTAGACCACTGAACAGCTTTTAAATGTACGGTGCAGAAGAAACCCGGTGTTGTCCCTTGTAGTCACATAAAATGCACAAAACAAGTTGTTTTTACACGTTTGCAGCGTTGCCATGACATCCTGCATGCACCAGATTCACATCACCATTTAACAAGATAATTCATCACAAGAACACAACTTTTTTTTAGTAGAAATCACAAGTTAATTATTTTGTTATCTTGATATAGCAAAGCTTGTTTTCTGTGATAATTCATATATATTGGTATTTTCAGAGAACAAAACAGAAATTTCTTCTAACAAGATCATTTATCACGTAAAAAACAACTTGTTTTCTCAAAATCAGAGCATAAATATGGAGAACGCAAACTGGTAGATAGCAGCCATAAGAAACAATCGCATGTTGTTGTTGGTGTCAGCTTTTATTTAAGAACAGAGAAATTTATACTCTGCAAAATAAACATATTTTTATCTTGAGATAACAAGTAAATTACCTCCTTGTATAAAAGAACAAAACAACTTTATTAATGATAAAACAAGAGTATTTGGTTATTGCAAAATGATACCATGAAAAATAATTGCGTTTCTTGGTTTCTGCACATGCTTGGTTGTCTGTCTCTAAGTGTAGCCCTGTGATAGACTGGTTACCTGTCCAGGTGAACCTGCCTTCACCCTGAGTCAGCTGGGATAGGCTCCACCCCCCATGACCCTAGTGAGGATGAAGGTGTAGAGATGATGGATGGTTTCTGCACATGCAGAAAAAACATCTTGGTTTCATTAAGACAGACGGGTGAGGCTCAGGGGGGTAGCTCAGGCGAAATGACGTTTGTTTTGCCACAATGTGGGTCCAGTGCACTGAGTGATGTGGTCCTCTCCCAAACTCCATCCTCATGTGAGGATATTGTGGAGTTTGTTGATGAGGCTACACAAGATACTGCAATGAAGCACTGATTCCCAATGATGAATCAAGAGGGACCCCTAGTGTCTGAATGCCTTCACCACAGCCTGCTCCAGGACAAAGTGCTTCAATGTAAATCAAACCATCCATCCATCCATTTTTCTATACACCGCTTAATCCTCA